CTGGGTTCTGGACCCGCCGCTGCCGCTGCCTGGGACTCCATCCCGGCCTGCTCCTCCTCTGCCTCCGAGTGTCCCGGACTCTCTGTCAGCCCTGTCGTGGCCGCACCTCCTTTTGTCGCCGTCTGCCAGTGTCCCCTGCGCTCACGCTTCCCCGGCTCTCCGTCCTTGAACCTTAGCGCTTCCGACGCCCAGTCGATGTGCGGGTTCCGCTGTCGCAGCCACGCCAGGCCGAGCACCACCACATAGTTGGCAATTGGGACCACCACGAACCTCAGCTCTTCTTGGTGGTCCCCGATCATCATTTGGACCAGCTCGGTATAGTACTGAGCCAGCCCCCCACCCGCTAGTGAGCCATCTAGCTGGCTGAAAGCAATGGGCTCTCTGAGGCACCGCACTTGCAGTCTGAGCCCTGAGACTAAAGCTGGGTACATCAGGCAATGCATACACCCAGAGTCCAGCAGCGCCCGCAGTTGCGCCTCCACCCCGGATCTTACCCCACAGATGTGCACCCTCACCTGCGGGGGGGCAGTCATCATCAGCTATTGGGTCCACGCATCTCGGCCCCTCTGCCTACACTTGGACGCCATTCAGTGCGAGCGCGCCTTGTTTCCCACCAGCTCCGACTCCTCCCCAGAGGATGCCGTCTCGGGAGTCGACCATCCCGCCATGCCTCGCTCGCCTCCCGGTCATCCGCGTTGGCTTGGCCTCTGAGCGGGGTGGGGCCCCATCCCACTCCGTCGGGCATTGCGCTGCCCAGTGGCCTTGCCCTCCGCACCGGAAACGTAGGGTTGGATTTTTCGCCGCCTCTCGCCCCCCTGTGGGCTGTCGCCGGCTGCTCCATCTCTCCTCTGCAGCTTTCTCCCATGGTCCCTCTCTTGTCAGGTCCCGTCTCCTCGAACTCCGCTGGATCTGCCGCCACGCTGACTCCGCCGTTCCGGCCAGCCAGATCCAGTCCTTCATGGTCGTGGGGTCATCCCGACCTAGCGCCGGTTCCAGGATTTCCGAGTTGAGGCCCCTCTTGAAGTATTTCACTCTCAGGGACTCCAGCCAGTCTGTGAGTTTCTCTGCCAGCCTCCGGAACTCCAGTGCGTATTCAGCCACTGATTTGTCCCGCTGCCTAAACTGCAGGATGTCATCCTCGGCCCGCCTGGCGTTCAAGGTGTCTTCGAACCAGTCCCAGAGCACCTGCATGAACTCCAGGAACCTCCTCAGCTCTGCCGCGTTGGCATCGTACAACCGGACCACCCAGCTAGCCACCTGGCCTTCTAGTAACTCTGCCACGTAGGCAACCCTGTCCTCGTCCCCTGCAAACAAGTGACTACTCCGCTGCATAATATTGCGGCTATGATATAATATGATATAATATGAGCAGCTATGGGGCTCCATCCCAAACTGCGCCTCTTCAGGAACTGGACACCCAAAGCCCCCTGCCCCCTGCCAACGGAAAAGCCCCCCACCTGTCCACAGTGACCTGGGCGAAGGAGGGAGAACAGGAATTCGCTGCCATGGCTGGGATACTTACTAGAAACTCGCAGGTCAAACGCTTCCACCTCTATTGTGTTCTTTGGTAAAACAATTTGTGCGGCGTATCTGGCAGCATCCTCTGGCTCTACTTGGCTGAGGCGTAATTCCCTGCAGTCCTCCGAGACCTTCACTCGCTTTTCAAAGGCCGGGAGGGGAGTCAGGGCGACACATGGCTCCTGAAAGGTCAGCACAGCAATAATACTAGACTGGCCGCCGACACTTCTCCTCCAAGAAATCATTCGATATGGTGGAGGAGTCTTCAGTTGGAAAGTGACCGACTCCCCCAGAACGCCATTCAGTCCTTTGGCTGCAGCAGCTTCTGCAGGGCCTGAGAGAAGAGAGAGGAAGACTTCAAGGTTAAGTCAGCCAAGTCAAGGTTCAAGCTTCCCATTTCTGACCCTCATTCCAGGAAAACCTTTGCTGAGAAAGGACAAAATGGCTCCAGGCTAGAGGATGTGGTGGAGCCTCTCTTGGTGATGGCCTACTCGGGAGCTGGGTCCTTCCCCTTGGGGCTCAAAAAGAGGATCTGCCCAGCCAGGGAGACCCAAAGCCCCGCCAAGACTCAGGCTGACCAGGCCACCTAAAGGGGTCACCTGGAGGCCTCCTG